GATCAGGAGCTGTGAGTGCAGAGTGGTTAATTTTCTGACCTCCAAATGGGAGGACTGGAGCATGTCCAAAACTGGTTCCGGTTGTTGTGAAAAGCTGAAGCCCATTTCTGTTTGCTGCCACCTTATATCTCTGCATCAGAGGAGAAATGACAGCTTTCATTACTGCTTACTTTAGCAGAATGAATGGTATGAGAGCGTCCAGATATTGATGGCAACCATAATATATGAAAAAATAAAGTGTAATTAATTTGCAAGCAAAGAGAAAAAGTTAAAGATTATTTTTCTATGCGTGCATAATGGGTAGGTTATTATTTTTAGCCCTGATAATAAATGGAAATGTGATATTGTGACAGCCATGAAACAATTAGTTCCCATGTGATGTACCTTGGCCAGAAGATGGGAACATTCATTATGACCCACAGCCACAGACAGCAATCAAAGCTGCACATAGCCTCGAGATAACCTCCTCTGATCATTTTGACTCTTAGAATAACCAAAAATATAATCAATGTTTATTCCGTATAGACTAAAATTGATTTGTGATTGTGATTGAGTCATTAAAATCATCAGGGAAGTGTTTCCAGAGGTCAGAGTCAACGGCTTTTTCCTCCATCATCTTCTACTGGGCCACAAGTTTTTCTGCAGACGCAGGTATCGCCCCCTTGGGGCCATCAAAAGAAAGCAGGTTTAAGGCAGTTCTGAAGATAGAACCATCTATTCGACGTCCTTTCAAGCATGTATGGTTGTCCAGCCACCTGATTATTTTTCACCCAATTTTAGCAATAATGTTGAGGAAAAGAATAATTAAAAGTGATAAAATGAGCAGACACAATAATAAAAAAATAATATCTGCTATCCCCCATAAGATGGTCTGCAGACCTCCACTGTGAGACGCTTCCTGAGCAGCCTGAGGACGGGAACTGTTACCAATATAAAATGCACGAGAAGAAGCAGTGCTGTGAAGGCAAATGCATGTTAGCTATGACTAAAATTACATAAAAGCCTATGTGACGTGACCAACTGCTCCAACATGGCAATATATCCAGTATTTATTCAACCTTTTTATTTTCAGTGCAGTCCCATTATTTAAATGTAGCCTGGCATTACTGATTTACTCCCTGCTGTATTTAAGAGAGAAAAAATTACACAGCTTGGTACAACTGTTAATTTGCAAAATTATATTCTAAAGTATAAGTCAGCTAATAAATTGTGCTTTATTATAGAGGTTTGCAATAGTAAATTAGCTCCAACTGCTGCATTAAAGTGATGGGCACATTAGTTATCAGTAATTTGAATAATATGTAATCACCTTTGTGCACATAAAAGATGGGTGTACCCACAGTGGCATCACCCTGTTCTGAAGCTTTGAGATGAATGTTTCCACTCTCGCCATCACTTTGGTCCACTGTAGAATGGCGGGGCAGTCAAGGTCAAAGGTCCTGGTAGTCCAGCCCACAGCTTCCCAAACTGGCTGCAGGCACATGGAACAGGACGGAGCCCAAGCCAGTGATTTAGGTGGCAAGATTATTGCTGGAGACAGACACAGCTCAGGTTCAGACTGATTGAGAAGAACCAGATGAGGTGGTTAAGGAGTCTGTCTAGAATACCTCCTGGGCACATAGGTGAAGTGCTTCAGGCTCATCCAGTAGGAGGAGGTCCCAGGTCAGACGCAGCTGGTTTGGGAACGTCACAGTGTCCCCCCAGAAGAGCTGAAGGAGGTGCTGAGGAGGAGGTGGTCAGAAATAAGTGACTAAGACCATAAACTCATTAGGAAAGTGTTTAGAGGTCAGGGCTGAGGGTCGTTTTCACTAAGATTTTTAGAGGACCAGAAGTCTTTTTGCTGTCACAGGTGTCCTTTAAGAGAATGCAGCTTTAAAACGCTGGCTTCACTTTTAGGCCCAGAAGCTACATCGGTCTTTTACACCATCTATAGTTCTGCATAATTAATATTTTTACTCTGAATATTGTCACCAGCAACAATACTGAGGGAAAGTCTCCACCAGCTTCTGAGGGGAAAAAAAATCTGACTTCTAAACCGCTAAATGAGAACATGCTGTGTTCACAAGCTGTTAGCTGCATCTGTCTGCAGTTAAAGTAGATTTATACCATTTTTTTTTTCCCTTAAAACGCCACTTTTGCATGAAAGCAATGCAAATGCAGCACATTCAGACTGAAAAGGAAAAACATCAGGGTGTCAGGGGTGGTGCTCTGCATGGACCCACTACCAAGCTCTACGTGGCACGATTAATACCACTTCTAATACTTGTGCTGTTAGCAGAGTGGCATCGTTTTCTTCGGTTCCAAACATGACAGATGCATCATGTCTGCATGCATCTGTCTTTTTTTTTGTTTTTTGTCTTGACCTGAGGATAATTGCTTGATGTGCATGGTCAAATCTGAAAGCTTGAAGGTGATGAGAGTTAACCAAAACCAAAAGCAGAGTCGCTGCTGACAGCAAAACAGGAGGAATGATCTGATTGATACTTGTGAGCTTTCATATCATAAAAGAGCAGTTTTAGTAGCACGTTTAACGCAGTACTTCTACTTGCTCTGGAGTGTTTTCGGTGTATTTGAGAAATGTGAATACCTCTTCCACCACATGCTGTGCAGATACATTATGCTGGTGAGGATGGAGCCTATATTTCCCCTGTCTCCTTACAAACTCTCTTCCTCTCCCTCACTCACATATTAGATGGAGGGGGAGAGCAGTAGCCTACAGGAGTGAAGCATGCATAAAAAGCAGCACAATAACCCCTCCACCTCCACCACCACCACCAGCAGTGTTGCTGTGAAGCACGTCAGAGGAAGCGGGCTATGAATCGAGGTGCACAGCGGGGTAAAGAAAACATTTCTTGGGGACACAGCTAGGGGACAGTGCCGGTCTCCTGACTCGGGACTGACACTCCCCTCCCCTCCACGCACGCAAACTAACATCCCGGAAAGCTTCAAGTCCACATCGCGCTGCAGGGGAAAACATCTGAGGTAATTATGCAGACTTTTTTTCCACTTCTCTGCTCGCTTTGAAACAACGTGAGCCGAATACGGGAGGGAGTGGAGGCGGTGGCGGAGGTAACGGTGGTGAGGATGTCAACTCAGTGGTAAAGTCGAGAGGCACGTGTTTGTTTTTGAAGTGGGGGGAAAAGGATTCAAAGCGGCTCCGCTGAGACTTTGTCTTTGCAACTGTTTGCGTGGGCCAGTGGATGCATATTTAATCGATGAGTGGGCAGCAGTAATTCACAGTACAGGAGTGGGCAACTGAAGCTGTGAATGAGAGAGAAAAGGAGAGGCTTTTGGTGACAAGTCGATCAGCTGTGCTCGCTCGAGAAGTCGGTCTTTAAAGCGTGGTGTTGCTGGCGTGGAGGGTGGGTTACTAGGGGTGGAAGAAGGCGGGTGTTTATTGTTTTTAATAAGGTCATAAGGAGGAGAAGCGGTGAGTGAGTGTTACAGAAAAACATCAAAGCTGAACTGTAGTTTTTGGACATTTCTTGACTTTTTCGCTGTTATTGTCGCAGCCGGGGGGGTCCTTGGGAGGGTTTGCAGCCTCGCTCTCTCTCGCTGGAGTCAGTGTGGCGGGCAGGGACAGTCCAAGCGCTCATATACAAAGCCAGCACGTTTCACTGTGTCTGCAGCAGCTGAGCGGTGCTGAGCACCACCACCACCACCACCACCACCACCAGCAGCAGCAGCAGAAGCAGAAGCAGATCGGGGAGGATTTGAGAGCACAGTTGGAGGATCGACGACGCATCGATGATGAAGCTCACCTGCTGTTTGCAGGTTGCTGGTCTGAGGTTGGAGGGTGCCGAGTGAGCGGAGGTGTTGCCGAAGCGCTGTCCGAGGTGCTGAAAAGCCCGCGGACAGAGCGCCGTTGTCGCCTTTCCAGTCGAGATGACACGCACGAACTGACGTGAATGCCAAGCAGCACAACGCGGCGGTTAACACGGCTCCCCTGGCCAGAGTGCACGGGACCGCGCGTCCTCTTGGCGTTAGAAACATGGAGAGAATTTTCCTGCTCGTCCTGAGCTGTCTCGGCGTCTCTCTGGTCACAGCGGGTAAGTTTACGATTGTGTGCAATTACAAAGATGTTCCGCGAATTTCAGCGCATTTTCTTCCAACTAAACGAACCGTGGAAGAATTCCTCTATCGGCATCTGTGTGAGAGAAATGCTGCTGGTGCTGGGCTTCAGATTGAATTCAGTGTTGTTGTTGGTGGTGTTGCTATTGTGAGACGCTGCGTAGTCTGGTGTGTTTGTGGGGAAACGCTGTGTTTGTAAGACAATACGCGCATTTCTGTGCGTTCTCTAATTAAACATGCTACAGTTAGTGGTGGTGAGGGATCCACATCACCAGACACAGTGGGGCTAAACTATGCTACTGTCTGTCTGTGTGCGTGTGTGTGTGTCGGTGTCTGTGTGTACGTGGGTGTGTGTGTGTGTGTGATTGATGTGATCCAAGCTGACCTTTGAATCTCATTTCAGGTCGGTACTATAAACTGCTGCATGTCCACACACAGGCAAACTATCCCAGTGTGAAAATTAGACGTGTGTAGGGACGTTTGTTGACTCCGCTGCTCATTACAGACACTTCCCTCTAAGTCTGGCTGTAGTCGACAGCCACTGGCCACTAGAAATACATGATTGGACTGCCAGGGAGCGACAGGGGCCCTCTGATGCTTGCTGTGGAAGCATCCAGCTCACCCTGTGTGTGTGCACATCTCTAAAACAGGCCTTTTAGATCTCAAACTACACACACTTGACCGCTCTCTGTGATGAAGTGCCACACTACACTCCTGCCATCAAAGTGCACCTTTAGTTCATTCAGCACACTCCCACTTCATAGCCTTTCCACTCACGATACATCACTATCCTGCTCCTGTCTCTGGCACACACTTATGCAAACACACACACACTCAGTCGTGTGTGTTTTCGTCTCCTTAACTTCCAGAAATAGATGTACAGTAAAAGTCAGTTTAGGTCCCTGCAGGGACAGACTACACAAATGTGCCCCTTAGACCTCTGTATTGTCAACGATGTGCACATTTGTAGAGTTTCTTCTTTATTTCTTGGCAACTAAAACAAACCGTTTCATG